CCCTGCTGCCTCTGTGCCAGGGCCAGGTGCGTGCTGCTGCCCTGCCTCCCTGCAGCCTGGAGCCCCGCCCCTCCCGGGACCCCTCTTTCCAGCTCCCCGTGCATGTCTACTTCAGCACACTTCCTCTGCTCAGATCCCAGTGGTCACGGATCTTTGCAGATCTTGGGCTCCTGAGCACCTGCAGCCCTGCGCCTCGGGACTGTGCTGGCCCTACGGTGTACCTGGGGTGGCATGAGGGTGGTACTTACTGTTGATGACCGCGGTGGCCAGGATGGATGCCATGCCGGCTTGCTGGGGCAGGAGCTGGATGTCAGTGTGTGAGGGAGCCAGGCTCTCGGGCTCTGTTGGCTCCTTCTTCACAGGGTGCCTGGGGGCGCTGTGGGGCTCAGTGACGAGAAGCACACTCAGCAGTCCGCCCGCTAGCACTGGCTTGGTGAGCCTGCACCAGAGGGCTCCATCTGCAGGCAAAAGTGCACCTGTGATGGGAGGGCCAGCAGCCCCGGGCCCACCACAGCAGTTCTGCAAAGACTGCCCTCATATCCTCCTGAACACCTCATCTTAGAGACCAGGGTTTTGAAGCCTGGGGTGGGGGATGAAGCCAAAGCCACAGTCAGGGAGTGGCCGGCCATGCCTGGTGCATAGCTGTGGCTGGTTGGTTTCCACAACAAGTTGTCCTGCCTCCGTGGGGCAACTGGGTGGTCCCCCAGGCCTGCCCAAGCCTTGGGCTTCCTTGCCCTGAGCCAAGCCCGTTGAGTGGAACTTGAAGGTGGCCAGCAGAACTGCCCTGTTTTCCAGGGATGGCATGTGGGACAGGTGGCAGAGCACCTGGGGAGGGGCTGGTAGCTACTGGGCCAGGCCCTGGACCAGCCTGCCTGTTCCATTGAACTCTGCTGGTGCACTGTTCCTGCGCTGGCCTGCAGGGGGCAGCCTTGGCCAACAGGACCCTGGCAAGCTGCCCAACCGACTACCTCCAGTGTCCAGCACAAGGCCACTTCACTAGCTGCAAGGACCTTTGTCCTGCCTGGGCAGACACAGGTGGCCAGAGCCCTGCTGACCAGCCTAGGAAGAAGGGCGGGCCAAGCAGCGCTAACTGACCCATGTCCTGCCTGGGTATATAACCTTATGGCTGACCACTTGCTGCCAAAACCCAGCCCTCTAGCTGCTTTCTGGGTCCTTAGAGTACCCTTTGGTGGGGAGCGGGGCCGGGGTTCTCTCCCACCCTGTGGATGGGGAAAGGTACAGAGGGTGAGGCACCGGGCCCAGGTGCATAGCGTTGACAGCAGGGCAGGATGGAAAGCCCAGGTCCCAGAGGCTGAGCCCATCACCTCTTCTGTACCCCTGCCAAGGCCTGGGAGCCCCCAGGGGGGTAGGGGCCGGGCTGAGGAGCTGGTCACAGGGCGGCTGCCTATCCCCTATGGCCTTTGGCTCTGGAAACCAAAGCTGCCCTCAGGATGGAGCTTTGCCTCCACTGGGGTGTTCACCAAAGTGCTGTGTGCTCAGGAGGTGGTGCTGAGGGTGACACTCCAGAACATTTTAGCAAAGCAGAGCCTCCCTGCAGGGGAGTGGGGTGTTCCCTGTGGTCAGTGGGTGCACAGCCCTCCTGGGTGGCCACGTGGCCAACAGCCCTTGCTTGTCTGTAGAAGTCGTCCGTGTATGTCCCCACATCCTCCCCTGGGACCTGAGCCTCCTTATCTGTAACGGGGGGCAGGGTCCACACCACCCTGACCCCCTGACCCTCACACATTGGAAAGGCCATGCTACACTTCCTTCAGGAATAAAACCGTGCCGGGCAGGCGGGGCGGTGCTGAAGACGGTAGCCCCTGCATCTGAGTGGCCTGAAGTCTGAATTGAGAAGGTGAGGTGGGCAAAGACCCCCATCGGGTTCTCCCTCCTCCCTGCCTCGGCCCTCCCCCAGGGGCTCCCCTTCCAGAGGTGCAGGGAGGCAGGAGGGGGCCCAAATGCACAGGCTCTGGTCTAGCTGGCACCCATTGCTGGGCCCCTGGCCTCCCTGGGTTCCCCCACTGTCCTGGTAGTATCCGAGGCCCTGAGAGTGGCCCTGGCTTCCTGAGACCCTGAACCCCATTCCAGGACAGATGTCTGTCCAGCGCAAGATGGGTATAATTGGGGTGCTAGGGGTGTGGTGGCCGGTCCCTGGGCTCGGCCCAGAGCAGGCTGGTTTCCCTTTAAGAGCTGGCCCCGGGGCAGCAAAGGACCTCCACCTCCCGGAAGGCGGAGAGGGAAGCACCAGATACCAACCCTTCCTGTGGATCTCCACGTTGGCCTCTGCCTCTGTCAGGGCCTGGGGCAGCGTCCTCAGCCAGCAGGCCTCGTCCTCCAGCAGCAGGGTCAGGGCCGGGCTCTGGGGGGCAGAAAGGAGGGGTCAGCGAGGACACAGCATGGGGAGAGCCCGGCTGGGGGTTCCCCACAGGGCATGTGGGCGGAAACCCAAGAGACCACCGGTGGGATGGCTGGACTAGGCCGCGGGCCTACTCCTTGTCAAATGCTGGACTGGTGACGCCTTTCAGGGGTCAGGAGCTGGGTTCTCTGGGAAACCGAGGCCCAGACAGATGAAGCAACAGCCCAAGGTCACATAGCCAGCCAGTGAGAGAGGGAATGTGCACCCAGACCTGTGTTCTCTCCTCACTGCCCTGTTACCTCCCCTCTTAACAGGCGGCCGGGCGCCCTGGTAAAATCCGCGGGGCGTGTGGGGGCTGCACCAGGCATGGGCTTCCCCCCCACGGGCCCCCAGGGCCTCTGCGCAGTGAGGCAGCAATTGGTCCTGAGGAGAGGGCAGGTCCCGAAGAGAGGGCTTCTCTGTCCCCTAGGCAGGGGGCTCCCTCCCCATTGCAGGGCAGGTTTGCTTTTGTTCAGACCATCCTGGGCCCGGAACATGGCAGACACTCAAAGAACACCTGCCTGGGCCCAGCCGCTCACCGAGGTCCTCAGGCAGCACAATGTCCCCATGCCGAGGCGGACTCAGGACCTGGCCCCCTCCTCGTTGCTCCATGAGACCAGCCCCTTGCCCGCCCAGCCTTGGGCCAGCCTGGAGGCAGGCAGTGTCCTTCTCCCCTCTCACAGGTGAGGAAACTGAGGCATGGGGAAGGTGGGAAGGGAGGGAAGCTCTTGCCAGCCCCTGGCCCAGCAGTGTTCTCTCTCCCAGCTGGTCTGCAAGCTGACCTTTGCTGCATCCGGAAGGAAAGAAGGCTCTGGTTTAGGCCCTGAGGGCTGCTGCCCGCGGGGCCTTGGAGGGGGTGGCCTGATTTCCGGAGCCCTGCAGAGCAGAGGAAACACACGTCCCCTGTCCCAATGCAGCCTGGTGCCTAAAGATGACTAGCTGGGAATGGTCTGCCTGCAGCCTCCCTCTGTGGCCCAGCTCTTGGCTACCCATGGCAGTGTGGTGCAGACCCATGGCTGCCTGGTGGGCAGGGCAGAACCATGCCCCGCCCCCCATTTAAAACAACAACAATCTCATCCCAGGATATTTTTCCACCTATTTTCAGACAGAGTTGGGAGAGAGAAACATCGATGTGAGAGAGACACATTGATTGGTTGCCTCCGCATGACCCCAACCAGATCTGGAGACCGAATCCCAACTGAGGTACGTGCCCTTGACCAGAACTGAACCCGCGACTCTCTGGTCCATAGGCCGATGTTTCAACCACTGAGCCAAACCGGCCAGGGCAACCATTGCCCTTTTTGCCTGAGGAAGTTGGAGTGACCACTGCTGCCCCTTGGTTTTCAGCCCCAGCGCTGGACCCTGGTTCTGGGCTCCTCTGCCTGGAGGTCCCCACGCTTAGCAACCGAGTCCCATATGGAAAGGTATGGCGCATGTCAACATTTGGTTATTTTTTGTTTTATGCAAACAAATGCCTTTTACTTAGAAATTCTGAGCATCAGGACCTTCACCTGAAGCATCAGTGTCACTTGCTATCACATAGACATGCTGCCACCGAGATGGCAGTGGTTTGTGTGCCCTATGGCTGCTATGGCAGTTGGCAGGGATGCTGCCACGGTGGGAGCCCATGGCTCTCTCCTGGGCTTTGGCTGTGGGGACCACAGCGGCTCCAGAGCTGGGCATCAGGGTCCCCTCCAGGTTTGACCCCCTCTGTGACCTTGGGCAGGCATCACCCCTCAGCAGCCCCTTTGACCACCTCTGCATCTTGTCCCCGTTCTGTGGCAGACTCAGGGACCCGGCGAGATCAGGCCGGTGTAGTGGGAATTCCCAGCAGGGCCTCCCAGCCAGGTCAGGGCACCTGGTCGTCGGAGCAGGCGTGCTCAGTCACGGAGTGTGTGAGCACAGAACAGCTGGCCTGTGGGTCCCAGCACCATGAAGCCCTCCCTGGGCCTTGGCACTTCTGCAAATGGGCGACGCCCCTCTTGACTGGAACCATGGCCCGTGCCCTTATCCTGCCAGCTGCCTGCAGGGCACTGGGAAGAAGCGGTGTGGAGCCCTCCTTTGGAACAGCAGCCGCCTCTGGTATGTGACAAGCACATGCCAAACAAGCCCCTACCATCAACACCCTTGCTTTTGCATTCCCTTTGGCCAGCAGGGCACACCAGGCAGGAGCCACGCCTTTGGGCCAGCAGTTGATAAATGTCAACTTGGGATGGGCATCTCCAGCAAGGAGCCTGCTTCAGGGCAGGCTGGTGGCAGGTGGCTCCCTGCTTTTAAGACACCTGGAGCTTCTGACACTGCAGAGCAGGGGGTGGAACCCAGGTGCCAGGGGGGTCCCTGCTGAGGCCACAGTGGGGGGTCAGGCCTAGGGCAAAGTGGAATGGGTGTGGGGGTGCTGGCACAGCGGCGGGGTGGGTGAATCAGCGGGGCTAGCATCTGGCAGCAAGGCAGAGGCTGGGCTTCCTTGAATCTCTAATGAATATTAATGAGTAGAGGAGGGTGAAAAAAATTAATCTGCCTGATCCTCCGATGGGTGCTGCAGTAACGATATGAAATCTAATTATTCGTCCCAATATTTCTAAACCCTCAAACTGAGACTGACAGCCTCCCGGTCGGTTTAATGCTTATCATTCTCAGGAGCGCGTGTTCGCAGCATGATAAAAACCCCTGCGCTCAGCTTTGCTGAGGCTGCAGAACCCCTAATTTTCCATGTACGTTCTAAGCTGAAGGAAGGCCATGGCGCCGTGTCCCCGGCCAGCTCTGTGCCTTCTGCCTGGTGCAGCCCATCTGTGTCCCGGTGGGTACTGGGCACCTGTGCGAGGTGACAGCCCTATCTGTGAGGGGAGTGAGGGAGGACGGGCCTGACGGGAGCTTCTGTCCTGCACCCCACGCCTGACTCCCAAGAGGAAACAGGCCAGGAGGTCCAGAGCTTTATGACTGACTTTCGCCCCCACATTCCCTCAGCCCTTAACGTTGTGGGGGGCTGGGCCCCCACTTAAAGGGGGAGGGCTGGAAAAGAGTGGGAGGCACCGCCTGAGTGACAGCACACACTTGCACTTGGTACAGGGGCCACCATCCCCTGGCTCTTGGGGAGGGTACCACAGCCTTGCCCAGCCCGTTGCCCTGTACCGGGCAGCTGGAACCCCAGTCTGCTGGCTGCGGCCTGAAGGCCACCTCCCTGCCCCCAGGAGCACGCTGAGCCCCGGGGGCTGATGACATTGGGTGAGGGGCAGACTTCAGCCTCCGCTTCCCCTGCTGAGGGGCTGACACAACACGGGGCTGCCCCATTAGCTATTTTCTTTATTCCCTACTATTTTCTCCCCGGTGCGGAGCAGCCTGGGAACAGAAGCCCTTTTCTCTGGTGGTGAAGGCGCTGGGCCGACGCAGGCCCCCCTCCTGGCCTGCCCTGCCTGTGGGCAGGGGGGTGCAAGCTCGGGAGGGGCTATTCACAACTCTCCCCTGGCCCTTCTGCCAAAACGAGCAGAGTTGTGTGTGCCGCCAGCTGCTTTCTCTCCATGGGTGCCCCCAGGCTGGGTGCCCGGTCTGGGTCCAGCTTGCTCTGGGCTCTCAGGAGTCAGCAGCCTGCCGCCCCTCAGGGTCACCGCTGACCCCCACTCCTGGCTCCAGGCCGGCCCCACCCAGCTCCGGGATAACGGGCGGCCACTTTAAATTCTCTGGGTGCATCTGAGAACACTCCTTGTTTCCCCAACAAAGAGGTCAGTGTCTGGATTCTGTGCCCACCGATAACCATCAGAAACCCTATCTCCGCCGCATCCGCTGTGACAACTTTATCTGAAGCTGTTCCCAAACCTCATGGTGCTTCTCGTGAAGCCACATGGAAGGAGAGGTGGGGGCCCTGTTTGGGGGAGGGTGGCCTGGCACAGGGAGCAGACAGTCCTGCAGAAGGTCAGCCGGGCTGCCGGGCCTCCCCCAGGTTACCACAGGCAGGCTCCGGAGAAGGCATGGCTGGGCAGGCTGGGGTGGGCTCTGACCAGGCCTCCCCACCACCTCTGTCCTCCCGTCCTTCAGCCCATCCTGAGAAGCCCTGCCCACGTCCCCAGCTCACCTTGGTAGAGGCAAGGACCTTTCAGGCCCTTCTCGTCTCCCTAGACCATGTGAAGAACCCATTTCACAGGAGAGGAGACTGAGGCCCACAGAGGTGAATGGCGCCCAAGGCCATGGGAGGGGGCTTCGTGCAACACAGGACTAGAACCAAGGTATGCATGATCTCCACTGAATCACTGCAGCCTTTTAATTAATTAATCAACTAATTAATTAATTTGTTCGTTCATTCGGCAAACAGTCCCCGAGGGCGTGCCAGGTGCAGGGACACCGTGAACAGAACGTGCAGTTCCAGATGTCCTGGCATGGATGCTGGAGTGGAGAGGCAGCAAGAAACAGCCATGGAGGCTGGAGGGGCAAGTGCTGGAGAAACAGGACAAGGCTGAGCAGGGCTGGTGGAGGCGGGAGGTGGGTATGGGCAGCGGTAGCCAGGGCAGTGGGTGAGGCCTGGAGAGGTGAGATGGGGTGCTCTGTGGGAGTCAGTGGGAAGGGTACATAGGGGAGGGGGAGACAGTAGGGGACGGGTGGCCAGGACTGAGGAGGAGCCAGAGCCCCTTCTTGCTGACAGCACCTCCCACACTCTGTGGCACTTTTCCAGCCCCCACAGCTATAGTCAGGGAAACTGAGGCACGGGGAGAAAGGGTGCCAGAAACCCAGGAAGGCCAGCAGCAGGATACCCCACATTGCCCTGTTCCCTGCCCTGGTGTTCCAGACCAGAGCGTCCCCTCAGGGACTGTCCCACGCAGGGCCAGGGGCCAACGTGGCCGGGCCCTAGCGCTGCCTATTGCTAGCTCTTTGGAGCAGGCTGAATGTGGCCCCCAAAGACACGTCCACTTGGGGCCTGAAGGTGACCCTGTTGGAAAAAGGGTCTTTGCAGATGGAATTAAATTAAGGACGACCCAGATGAAATCATCCTGGATTATCCACATGGGTCCTAAGTCCAATGACGAGGAGGGGAGAGGAGGCAGAGGTGGGACTGACCCATCTCCAAGCCAAGGAACCCCAGGCGTCACCAGCGGCCACCAGAAGCTGAAGGGAGGCCTGGAATGTGCTCTCCCTCAGAGACCCCAGAAGAAACCAGCCCCGCCAACCCCTGAGCTCGGAACTGGAAGAGAATCTAATTCTGCTTAAGACCCCAGGTGGTGGCACTTGGTTACAGCAGCCACAAGAAACTCTTACATTCTGGGGCCTTCTCTGAGCCTCAGTTTCCCCATCTGTACAATAGGGTTAGTTGGAACTGTTGCCCCATGGCCAAGGAGAGTCAACAGTGCCAGGTGAAGCTCTAGCTCAGGGCCTGCCAGGGAATGACCGCCAAGGTCCTAGTGACCTGTTGGCACCTCCAGGTCTGGGCCAGGCTACCCCGCAGGCATGTGGGAAGGGGAAGGCAGCAGCACAGCCACAGGGCACTTCCTGTGAGGCCCCATGGGCTGCTGGGTTACTGGACAGAGGACGATGGGCTGGGATGGTGGAAGAGGCTCCTGGGAGCAGCAGGGGCATAGGCCCATGGGACTGGGAAGTCAGGAGGCGGTGCTGGGGCAGGGCTGTGGGCAGGCACGGTGGCAGGCCGGCTCCAGCGCTGCCTTGCTGTGCTCAGACCTTACCGAGTAGCAACCGCCTGCTGTCAGGGTGTGTCCACAACGCGTCATGGGTCACTGACTCTTACTTTCCAGGTGGGAGCGCGGAGGCAGGACAGCTGCAGCCACAGCACCGGGCGCCATGGGGAAGAGGCTGCCCCGATGTGGGATGCTCAGAACATTTCAGCAGGTGCACAAAGCAGGATGCAGGGCGGCGTGCCGTGCATCCCCACCTGGGTAAAGAACCCGAAGCACCCCCACCTGGGCTGGGTGTCCCCGAAGTCACAGGGAAAGCAGTGCAATGATGGGCCCGGGGGGTGGCGTTCTTCCTTATTACACACAAATGTAAGTGAGAATCAAAGAGGGAGAGGGGTATCACCAGGAGTGTACCTGGGCATCCTGCCTCGGCCCCACCCCCAGAGGCTCCTGGCCAGGGCTTGCCCTGCCGTGAGGTTTGGCTCTGCCATGGCAGTGGCCCCTGATGCCAGCCTTTGAGGCTTCTCGCATGGAGAGCTGCTCAGAGCCAAGGGCCCCAGCACCATCTCCATCTCCAGGTGAAGGACCGAGCAGCCCCACCCTCTACAATGAACCCTGGCCAGAGCCTCACCTGGGCCACATGGTAGGTCAGGGCCCAGGAGGTCCCATTTCAACCTCTCAGGGAAGGTCTTCCCCAGTGAACCTGTTGCCTTGCTTGGCAGCCATGTCATGATGGCTAAAGTGGGTCAGCCCTGGACACAGATGGGTCAAGCCAGTGTGGGCCAAGCTGGGGGTAAAGGTTGTTCGTTCATTCATTTGCTCATTTGCCCATTCATTCATTCATTCATCGACCCGTCCATCCATCCACCATCCACTCATCCACCCACCACCCATCCATCGAGATATCCATTTTTCCATCCACCCATCCACCATCCATCCTGAACATTTCTTTTGTATCCGGCTGCAAATTTTAGAGCTGGCTGGGCCTCCAAGCCCTTGTTTCCAACAGTGGAAACTGCTACTGGATCAGGGAGGGACCTGCCCGAGTTAACACAGCAGGCTGGTGCCAGAACCAACCCTCAATCCCCCGCCAGGCTCTGTGCCCTCCGTGTCCTTCCTGAAGCTCCCACTGCGAGAGTCCGGCCACCCCGTCCCCTCTCCAGCCTGCAAGAAGCCTCTTCCCCACCAGCAGGAAAGGGTCACCACCCCACATCGGCACCCCTCCTCCCTCTCGAAAAAGTGAATACTGCCTGGCAGCAGATAGGACGATCTGGGGCAGGAGGCGCTTGGGGGAGAGAACTGGGACCCATCAGCTGAGCTTGATAAGGGGCCCGCTGAAATGTTAGCAAAAATATTTAGACAATAAATGAAGTATCAGAAAAGTGCGCGTATCTTTAAGAAATCAATCATCTTGCACGTTGCGTCTGGACACTCGGCGCCAAGGCGGAGATAGCGCCTGCTGGGGAGATAAGGGTTAATCAAGGATTTAATTCTGCCCGAGATAAAGCTGCAGGGACGAGCAGGCGAGGCTCCTTCCTCCCTGGGCTCCTCTGCAAGAGCCTCAAAGGTTGCTGGCTTCTCTGGTGCTCGCTCCCTTGCACCCATCAGACATTATCTCTCTGCCTGGAGAGCGTTTCCAGCCTCGTGCCAAGTCTCCCCAGGCTGACCTGTGCCCCCGGCCCAAGGAGGACAAAACAACCGGAGAGGAGGCTGCAGGTGGGCGGGGAGGGCCATGGCTCCGGCCCCTCAGCCCTGTCCTTCCGGAACCTGCAGGGGTCTCTGGGGTCGGGCAGACATGGGTTCCCATTCTGCCTCTGCTATTAGATCTGGATGGCTTTGGGCAGTCACTTAACCCCAGTTTCCTCATCTGTAGAGCAGGGTGGGAGGGAGGAGGAAGCGTGTTGTGTGTGAGCGTGGGCACACCGCACGGTGTGGGACACAAACCTGTCCATCTCGGGAAGGGCTGATTATCCCCGGGAGGGAGCCAAGAGAGAGGTGCAGGTTCCATTCAGAACGTGCTTAGACCCCCGGCCCTCAGCCACCCTGCCTTTGTCCGGCCACTTGCAGATGGGTTTTTTTGACCCTTTGACCAGAGCCACAGAGCTCCTAGCTCACCTCCTCTTCTTCCACTATTTTTTTTTTTTATCCTCACCAGAGGACATTTTTCCATTTTTTTGTTCAGATAGAGTGGGAGAGAAAGAGAGAGAGAAACATCAACGTGCAAGGGACACATCGAGTGGCTGCCACCCGCATGACCCAACCAGGGCTGGGGACAAACTGCAACCGAGGTACATGCCCTTAGTGGGAACCGAATCCAGGTCTCTTGGGACCGCAGGCCGATGCTCCAATCGCTGGGCTAAACCGGCCAGGACTCTTCTTCCACTATTAACTGCCCCCCAACAGCCTGCCCTCTGCAGAGTCAAAGGTTGCTTGCATGCCTCCAGTGACAGGAAGCTCACTGTCTCCTGAGGCTGCTGTTAACACCACAGCCTCCACCTCACAGTGGAGCCCAAGTCAGGCTCCTTCCACAAGGCCAGAACCCACCCTGGAGCTTCCATGGTTTCCTCCCTGCGGAGACCAGCCTGCGGTAAGGACCGCCCGTGGCCCGCCTGTGGACCATCGCTCCTTTAACCTGCCCAGCTGCCCTGGGAGGCGGGCATCCTGCTGGCTTCCCCACTTCACAGACAGGCGGCAGCTCCTCGGAGGGGAGGCTGGAGGGTCTGCAGGCTCAGGCCTCAGGATCCTTCAGGACTTTCCTGTGTCCCCCCCGAGGTCCCAAAAGGTGAGGAAACAGACGCTCAGAGAGGTCAGGGGCCCATCTGGGAGCACACAGCAAAATAGCCACGAGGTAAGAGACCGCAAATCTAGACCCTTTGCCGTGGGGGTGGCCCAGCCACAAAGGTGGGCGCCCATCGTTCTGGGCCAGCCTCCCACCAACTCACTGAGTGGTTTGAGCAAGTGCCAGCCTCTCTGCACCTGGCTGCTCGGCTGTGACAGCCAGTGTGGGCAGCCCATGGGGGACCGTGGGAGACATCTCCATTCTCCTGAGGCCCAAGCCCAGAGATTCTGACACTGTGTGACCCACAGCCCAGGTTTTATCACCCATGGGAGTGGATGGGGGCTATAAGCGCTCGTCCAAGGGTCTGCAGCTGGGGATTCTGCCTGTGAGCCCATCAGCCCTCAGACACCACTGCAGGCTGAGTTCTCCGGGCCCTGGTTTCTGCAGCTGAGATATGGGGGTCTCTAATTGCCAGGTTGGAGCTGGGCAGAGCTGTCAGGGCAGCACTTAGCTTCCAGGTGCTGGTGGGGGTGGGTAGGATGCCTGATGACTACATGGAGGCTAACTGGAGACCCACACCTGGGATCTTGGGACCAGGAGACCCAGCACTGCAGGGCATCCACCAGCTAGTGTATACCCTGGATCAACCCATACCTGCATGCCACATCAGGAATCAAAAAGGGCCCAGGTCATGGCTGTGCCTGCACATTTGGAGCATCTGAACATGGGCTTGAGGGGCCCAACCTGGGGTGCCACCCGGCCTCCCAGGCAAGGGCCATCAGGACTAGGAAGTGTTTCTGAACACTCATCATTCACAGGCCCTTCCCAGTTACCATTCACACCATCTGCTGCCCATTAGCTGCCCATGCTTACTCATGTCTCATCATTGGGGCCCTTTCTTAACAGAAATTTATTTTAAAAAGTGCCTTTAGCCCTGGCTGGTGTGGCTCAGTTGGCTGGGCATCGTCCTGAGCACAGAAAGGTTGCCAGTTCAATGCCCAGTCAGGGCACATGCCCGGGTTGCAGGCTCGATCTCAGGTAGGGGGCATGCAAGAGGCAGCTGATCGATGTCTAGTTCTCAACACGGATGTTTCTTCCTCTCTCTTTCCTTCTCCCTTCCTTTCTCTAAAACCCACGTTTTAGAAAATCTTTTTTTTTTTTTTTTTAAAGAAGCCTTTGTATCCCATGCAAGAGGATGCCACACCAACTTGCCACACTCAGAAGGTAGCACAGAAGTAACACTAAGACAAACGATGACCTGGGAGTTTCCTCATCTAGTGGGAGGGTGCTGCCCAGGTGGGGATCCTTATTAAAGAGGAAGATTAGCAAGTGTTGAAGAGGTGCTCACACCTCTCCCTGTCCTTGGAAGGACCCAGAGGGACAACGCAGAATGAATCTCTAGCCTCCTACTGCAGCTGTCCCCACGTGCCCAGAAAACCACATGATTTACTACCAGGGAGAGCCCTGCCCATAAAGTCCCAGGGTGGGGGGTGACGTCCCTGACTTCCCCAGCCACACACATAGTCCAGCCGCACCACTTGCCGCTCCTTGTTACTTCCTCCCTTCGAAAGCCCTTCTCTTTCTCTGCCTCACCAACTTCTACTCATCAGTTAAGAGCCTGCTGAAAAAACCCTCCTCCAGGAAGCCCGCCCTACATCACCCAAAGCCCCTTAGGCCCCACATCACCTCCTCCAAGAATCCTTCCTCGTGCTCTCGGGCAGTTACCTCTCCCTGCCCTCCTGGTCCCGATACCCGTATCTTCTGATGCATTTCCCATGGAGTGGTGGGACGTCCCAGGCCTGGCTCAGGGGGTCAAAAGGGCCTGTGCCCTGGGTGGGATGCTGCCCTGGGGCCGGTGGGTGGGCTAGCCGTGGTTGGGGCTCCTTACCGGTTCTGCCTGCCCAGTGGGGGATGAGGCTCTGCTCTGGATGCTCCCTCGGAATGGGCCCCAGGACAGGCCCTCAGCAAGGCTGTGTCGAGCCCGCACGCACCTTTGCCCATCCTGCAGGACCTGCTCCAGCTCGTCTGCAGGGAGAGACATCAGAGGTGTGAGGAGTGCCAGCCAGGGTGTCAGCCCAGCCCCACAGCCTTCCCAGGCCCAGCCTACCTCTGCAGCCTCAGCCCCCAGGAGCAATCAGGGGGCTTCAGGGAAGGGGAGGCAGTACCACCCCATGGGCCTGGGCCTGAGGTACAAGGATGATGGCTAGTGCCCGGCTTTGGGGACCTGGCCAGCCCCTGTGGCAAGATCTTTCCTGCAGACAATGGGCTGCAGGGATAGGAAACTAAGGGATGCCTTCAGCTGGACTTGAGCAGGCAGGTGCATAGCTTGGGGTCCACGGCTGCTCTGTCAGAGACATGCATGGCTTGGGAACCATAGCTGCGGTGCGGGAACACACGTGGCCTGGGACCATAGCTGCGGTGCGGGAACACACGTGGCCTGGGACCACAGCCGCCACTGGCAAAGTTGCTTGTGCCCAGGATGCACGCATGGAGGCAGGTCACCCCTGCGGCCTCCACTGGGATGGGCACAGAGCAGGGGACCCACCCCACCCCATCTGCACTGTCCTCCCAGCCCCTTCCCGTCGGCGGAGTCCCCAGACCTGCCCAGCAGGCCTGTGAGGGCAGCTGTGGAAATGCCGGGCCTTGGTTTCTGCATATACAAGATGGGATCCCAAATACTCCCTACTCCTTGTGTGGCATGAAGATTGAATGAGTTAACCCACCGAAATGCTTGGCAACGGGCCTGGTGGGGCAGCTGAGGCACAGAGCCAACGCTCCTCACAGGCCTTCAGCAAAGGCAGAATCTGCGCCCCAGTGGTGCTGAGGTCCGCTCCATTCACTCCCTGCAGAGCAGTGGGGACCCCAGAACGCTGCTGCTCCTACACCGCGCTCGAGACCTCTGCTCACTCTCTGACTCTTGCTGAGGTCCTGGGCCAGCCATGGCCTCTCTCATGGCCTGTCTCCTGGCTGAGGGTGGAAGGCTCCTAGGGGGCGGAGGCTCCCTGTGCCACGGCAGAGCCACACTCTCTGGGCTCTGCCAGCTTGTGTGGCCTTGGCCGTGACTCCGCGGCATGGCTAACGCAGTGGCCCCCACTGCCGAGCCAGGACCCGTTACGTTTACACAGATGGACCTCAGCTGTGAGGCCCTACGGTGGTCATTCTCACAGCGCGGGAACTGGGGGTTGGACAGGGTCTCCGGCCAGGCTCTAGGGGTAGCCCAGGTGTGCCACACAATCCCCACGACCTCGTGTAGCGGTCTGAAGGGTGGCCTCCAAGAGATCTTTCCACCTGGAACTGTGATTGTGCCCTTACTTAGAAAACAGGTCTCCGCAGATGTAATCAAGCTAGGACCTCAAGATGAGACCATCATGGATCATCCCGTGGGCCCTAAATCCAATGACAAATGTTCTTGTAAGAAGAGACACGCAGAGGAGAGACTCATGGAAAAAGAGCGTGTGAAGACAGGCAGAGATGGAGTGATGCAGGAAGCGGGGCGCACAGGCGCTGGGAGGGGCCGGAAGGACCCTCCCCTGGAGCCTTCACAGGGACTGTGGCCCCGCTAGCACCTGTGTTGGGGCTTCTGGCTCCACAGCT